CCTCCTCCTCCTCCTCCTCCTCCTCCTCCTCCTCCTCCTCCTCCTCCTCCTCCACAATTACTCAATATGAAAATACTCTCCCTCTTCCCCTGATGGCGGTTGGGTGATCGCCGAACACCCTCCGCGTACTGTTTTTTTACACACAGGATTCCCGGGAAACGGATTTTCGCCTGCGTTTTTTTCAAAATGCTGCTCTCGCTGAGGCGCCGGCCTCATTTCTGCTCCCGAATCGTTCCGAATCGTGCTCCTGCTGCAGCGTGGGCCTCATTTTCGGATCGGTGTTTGGCCTCCGTCGTTCAGGATGGCGTTCTCGCCCCAGCGCGGGCCTCTTTCTCGCGCGCCCATCCGCCCGCCACCACCGCGCCGCACCACGCCCCGCCCCGCCGCACGCACACCCACCCCCACTTCCCCCCACCAACGCACGCACGCACGCACGCAGCTTCGGCACACCATCCGCGCACCTCGCTCCCACCGCTTACCCACCCACCACTCCACGCCTTACACCGCGTCCACACTACTCACATGCTCGACACACAGACACACACGCTCGCACGCAACGCACGCACGCACACGCACACACACATACACACACATACATACACACATACACACACACACACACGCACACACACACACACACACGCACACAAGGACACACACACACACACACCACCGCCACCACCACCACCGCCATCATGCACGTACGCACCTGGCCCACCACCAAACCACCAAGACGCCACGCCACAGCACACGCGCACACACGCACACACACATATACACACCACCACCACAACAACCACAACCACGCACACACGCACGCACGCACGCGCACCACCACCCACTACGCACACGCGCGCGGAGCCACAGGTCCGCCACGACACGCGTCCGCGGATAGAGAAAATCCGCGCCATGGTAGGGATGGTGGGGAGCCATGGTAAGGGATGGGAGGGAGGGGTAGGATGCCAGATGTTGACGCGAGCGCACCTAACTTGTCCTCCTCACCCTCCCCCTCCTCCTCCTCCTCCTCCTTCTCCTCCTCCTCCTCTTTCTTCTCCTCCTCCTCCTCCTCCTCCTGCTCCTCCTCCTGCTCCTCCTTCTCCCCCTCCTCCTCCTCCTCCTCCTCCTTCCTCCTCCTCCTCCTCCTCCTTGTCCTCCCTCTCCTGCCTATCCTATGGTGGTGGTGGCGGAAAATCGGCCCATCAGCATCTTACCAGCACAAAGGCTGGTTCCGGACCCCGGTCACCTCAGCTCTTCGTGCACGCTCGGGGCGCGCGCCTCCCAGAGGTCGGCGCTTGGCTTTTGCCAGGAAGGGAGGTGATCCTGCGGGAGACGCGGGTCCTGAAGCATTTCGCCGTCCCCGGGCTCCTGAGTCCTGGGACCGTCGGGGTGCAAAGCGGGACCCGGGGGAATGCCTCAAGTCGCGCATGTCCGTCGACAGGAGGAGTATTCCAGAATAGTCAAAAAAATAGACTGGGGACGATGGGTCTTGCCTTTTGGGCTATGTGTGATTTGTTTTTGACTACTTGCATTCTCCTTCAGAATCCGCCCGTAGAAAGCCCGAGGATCCAGAGCCCATTTCCTTCGGGCCCGTTTCCCTTCATGCCTGGTCGACGCGTTGGTCGGCTGATCCACCCTGAGGAACCACGTGGGGTCGAAGGCCCTCCCCTCCCTCCGCCGGCCCTCGTCTGTGAGTTGCTGTGATGCCAGCCCGGGGCTCGCACGTCAGGTTTCCACGCCGACCCGGGTTAGCGCGTCCCTGGCACAGAGCGTCGAGCCAGGACCATTTTCAACCAAGGGGGTGCATTAGTTGAGTTGCACCGCCTGGAGATCTGTCGATCTAATACGCGCTTGCTGGCAGGATCAGCCCACAGCACGGCCGAGTCTGCCGCGTCAGGCATTTTCAGTGATCCGCTGTTGTTCGTGCCCGCGGTGATTGATGCGCGGATGTGATCTTTCACGTAATTCGATATTATCTTCCCTCCACATTCACTCCATATCAGGAGGGGAAAAAACACACAGACACAATTAATCGTCGATTCCCAGAAAATGTAGGAAAATATGGGAAGTGGGGAGGAAGACGAAAACCCAGAAAATATGGGAAATATATGGGGAATCTTTTTATTTGTGTGTATTTATTTGTGTGTCCTGGGGCTCCTTCACCATAGGCAGTTGGCGGCTCGCGGAGGTCTGCGGCGAGTGGCCCCCGCCTCGGTGGCGGACTCGACCTGGTTCGGTCGATGGTCGTTCTCTTGCCTGTCGTTCGTCGATCGGCGCGGCTGGCGGCGACCGTCTCCGCGATTCGCATGATCGTTGTTCGTTGCCGTCTCTAGTCGCCCGTTCACTTCTGAACTAGAGGTTCGTCTATTGTCATCGCTTCCAGTGGTCCGAGGCCTAGAGGTGAGACATGGAGACCGCACACCGACCACACCGACATTAAACCGACCCAGCCGACAGCTGAACCGACCGAATCGAACCGTTTCTATTAATCTGTCCTCCTCCGTCTCATCTCGCTTCTCTTGTACAGACAGTCCTTGCAAGGTGATTTTAGCCAGTCTGGCAGAGCGCATGCCGCCAAGAGAACAGGTTTTTGGCGTTCTATTTCAACCAGTGGCTTGAGCAGGACTCGTATCTCTTGATTCTTGTTGCCCCATCTCTCTGCAATCACGTGTCCCCCGAAGTTCCTGGAGCGGATATGGGGCTGCGGAGCGAGCATGCAGAGGCGCGCTGAGCTTCCTTATATGGCACGATCCGTGTGAGGGGTGTGCCAATATAGTCGTGGGGGAAGCGTGTGGGCGCCCTCACTGGCGGCGTAAGTGGAGCTGCGTATAGGGCACTATCCATGTGAGGGATGTGACCGCATGGGCGTTGGGACCGCGCGCGGGCGCCCTAGCTTGTGGTTTAGGTGAGGCTCCGTAAGTGGCACGATCCCTATGAGGTGTTTGTGTGTGTGTGCACGTGTGTGTGCGTGTGCGTGTGTGTGTGTGTACGTCGTACGTGTGTACGCGAGTACGTCTGTACGTGTGTATGTGTGTACGTGTGTACGTGTGTCCGTGTGTACGTTTGTGTGTGCGTGCGCGTGCATGTGTCTGCACGTATGTCTGCACGTATGTCTGTCTGTCTGTCTGTCTGTCTGTCTGTGTGTTTGTCTGTCGGTCTGTCTGTCTGTCTGTCTGTCTGTCTGTCTGTCTGTCTGTCTGTCTGTCTGTCTGTCTGTCTGTCTGTCTGTCTGTCTGTCTGTCTGCGTGTGTGTGTGTGTGTGCGAGGCACCCCTGGCCCCCCCGCCGGGCGGTGCCTCGCCGACGCTGGCCAACAATCCGGCGCCGCCCGCCTGTCACGCGCCTGGCCCTGCCGTGCGCGGGCCCGGCTTCCCCCTCTCCTCCCCCGGCCCTCCCCCTCTCCTCCCCAGTTCATATTCTCGTTTGCCACGATACGTCTCTTCCGCCAGCGCAGCCACTCTGCCTGGCCGCCGACACAAAAAGTGTGTGTGTGTGTGTGCCGAGCTTCGCGTGAGGACGCAAGCGGGCGCCCTACTTACGAGACGGGAGTTTATGCATGACCACCGCCTGAAAGGGTCAGTTTTCGCAGCCTCGGCAGGCGGTGGATATGGACATGTGCGGGCCCCCAGGGGCCGAAGTAGATCCATATCCACCGCCCGCCGGGGCACCAGGACGTCGGTTCCCAGGCGGTGGATGTGGATAAATCCCCGCCTCGCACTCCGAGCTCCGCAGGGGGGGGCCGCGAGCCAGCCTGGCGTGGGAGCCCCTGCGGGCGGCGCCTTGGCGGGTGCCGCGGGAGAGCTCCGTATGGGGCATGGTCCATGTGAGGGGGGTGCCGATTGGGCGAAGTCAGCGGAGGAGGAGGAGGAGGAGGAGGAGGAGGAGGAGGAGGAGGAGGAGGAGGAGGGAGGAGGAGGAGGAGGGGGAGGAGGGTGAGGAGAAGAAAAGGAGAAGGACAGGCCATCTCGGCGCCGCGGAGAGAACATGAAGGAGGGATTGAGAGGCGAGGACTGTCGACGACGACGACAACGACACGTACGACGACAGCTGAACCAGACGGCACATTGGCAGGTATCCAGCACCCCATTTGCGGGGGACCGACTCTGCCACAGGCATCTATCTGAGTCTGGACCTCCGCGGCTTTCTCCCTGAAGGACCCGCGTGGGCAGCCGGCGGCGTGCAGAAGGGGGTGGGTTGTGTTTCTCTTTGTCTGGTTGGCCTGCGGGGGACCCGCGCGTCGCCATGGCCGGATGCAGCTGAAGCACAACTCAGCTAGGACGGAGTTCAGGAGGGGCCCGGGCGCCAGATTTGAGTGGGTTTGGGTTTGGCTTCACGGCGAGGGGAGGGCTTTCTAAGGTGCGCATGCCATGAGATGGGGAGCTGACGTGGCCTAAGCAGTCCTAGGCGTTTGCTGAACAGGCCTGCCCTGTTCGACTCTCTGCCCAGGTTCATTTTACTACAGGGCTTCGACTGCAGGGGTACTTATTCGACGGCACGCAAGAGTGACCCTTCGCCGGAGTGACTTGTGGTGCGGGCTCACCAGGGCCCCCCGATCGCCGAACGCGACTCGATAGTAGCCTCTTGCGCGCTTGTGTTTGGCCCCCCCGCGCCCCAAAAAGCTGCGCACCAAAGGTTACTTTTATCGGCGGCGAGCCCGGGGGAGGGGGGAAGTGAGAAGGGGCGGGCCTTCCCAGAAGGCTCGGAAGTCCCCCGGCCTTCTGAGAAGTTTTCGCAGCCTTCCCCGAAGACACAACAGAAGCTCTCAGAAGGCGCGAGGGCTTCTGAGAAGGCCCGCCGCCTTCTGAGGAGGCCTTCTCCTGCTCGCCTCCCTCCTCCGCTCGCCGCCGACGGGTCACTCCGGCGTGTCGCCGACTCCGTGACGGAGGGCATGCCCTCTGCCCTCCACGGACGCCCCCCCGCCGTTCCAGCAGGCCGCGCCCCTCGCCGAGCACCTTGTCCCTGCGCGGCGGCGGGTCCGTGCTCCATCCTCCGTCTCCTCCGCCGCGGCGCCCCCCTCTGTCTTTGCGCCGCCCAAGCTCGGCCTGCACTCGAGAGTTCAGTCGGGCATGTCCCTCTACAGGAGGAACACTTCAGAACGGTAAGCAAAGCATGGTATGGGGACAATAGTTCGTGCTTTTCGCGGCGGCTTTCTTCCAACATCCGCGTGCAGGTGGACGTGCCTGGCCTAACTCCTAGAGCATCCAGATGACCCGTGCAACTGCCCCCCCGAATTCCTCTCTGCAGCGGGCCAGCATCGGCGCAGTGATCTCGACCTGCTTTGGTTGTTCCGCCCGTCACCAGCTTCCCCCAGACGAGGGTTTGGAGGACCCAACCAACGAGTGACCTCCGCCATTTGCTCCGCCCTGCTGCTCTGATGCAGCTACTCTCACAAGTACCAGCCACCCTGAACGGCGGCATGATCAACGCAAGAGTGCAATCGTCCAACTGTCACCCTTGAGGAGTTTGGGGGCTCGGAGCCGGGTGGGCGGGGAGGGTCGGGCCGAACGAAAGGGGGGGATAAGGAAAAGGGGGGGTACGAAATCTGATGTATGCAGCTGGTTTCGGCCCCGCCGAGGGGCCCATTCCTCGTTACATGGCAGGCTCTGGCGCCGGGAGGCGCCGCGAAACTCAGCTGCGTGAGCTGATTCTCGAACCCCCCCTTTACCGTCCCCCCCTTTCGCCCGGCCCGAGAGGGGAGTGAGGAGTCACCTTTCCCAAAGTACACCTTAGGCGATGCTTAAGAAAACCTAATTTTTTGGCCAGAGTCTTGATTATTCTTAATGTTTCAATGTAAATCCTAAGATTTGAGTGGAAATTTTGGGTTTTTACTCAAGTTCTGAGACTATGAATTTCTTAACCCATGATTTCTTAAGCATTTCGCAGGGTGTAATCCCCGCCACCCTTGGCGTAGCACATGCGATGCCAGCGGGGGGGGGAGCGGCCCGGCCACCCACCTGCCCAGAAAAGGGCGGGGGCTTCGCAGGCCCTGCGGACGGGACGGGGTGGGCATCGAAGGGCACCATGAGCCTCTCAGGCCAGAGGTGGGCACCGTACAGCGGAGACCGATGCCAAGAAGCACCCTGCTCGCCTCCAGGGTGCCCTGGTGTTCTTGGGTGTCGATGGTTGTTTGACGTGGAGAGCGCGACGTGCCCACACCAAAAATGAAGGGACGCCCTGGGATCTCAGGGTCGGGTGTCTTGTGGAAGGTTTCTTGTGGACTGGCCTCCACTGGAGGCCTGGCGCCAAATAGGACGCGTCCTCCACACCGCGTGGTTCTGCTCGACACCCACTGAATGCCGTAACCCCGTCGCCTCAACCTCTTTCCAGGCGTCGCTAGAAAATCACGGAGGGTTTTCGCCCTCTCTGGCCCGTGGTATACCTCCTCCTTGCTACAGTCAGGAAGGGAAAACACACACAATTGATCGTCGACTCCCAGGAAAAGATAGGACAACATGCGAAGGGGGGGAGGCGGGGGAGAGACGACACTCCAGGAACTGTGAACAGATGTGGGGAATCCTCGGATTTGTGCCCATTTCTTTGTGTGTCCCAGGGCCCCATTCATACTGCTCCTACCCCTCTTCCTCCCCGTCTCTCCGGCGCCCGTGCGCGCGTCCAGAGGACGAGGAGAGTGGGCGGGGGAGGGGCGAGAGCCGCGCGGGCGCTCCCCGTGCGCCCTGGAAGCCCCCGCAGCGAGGAAGGGGGCCCAGACCCCCTCTCTGGGCGCAAGTCGGGCGTGCCCCCTGCACAGGAGGAATCTTCAGAAATAGTCCTAAGTCGGGCCTGTCCCTGCACAGGGGGAAAATTCAAAAGTAGTAAAAAAGATGTTCGGGGGACTATTTTCTAGTATTTTTTGACCATGTGGGAATATGTTTTGCGTATGTTGTTTATTTTTCGTCGAATATCCACCTGTAGGTGGACACGCCCGATTTCAAAATAGTCAAAGGATAGTCGGGGGACGATTTTTTGATTATTTGTTTGGGGAGGGGCTCAAGGCCGTTCTGGAGCAAGCCCCCGGGGGGCCCCCGACCAGGAAGTCTTCAAGGGTGGATTGGAGTGTTTTCTTTTTCTCTGCACCATTCAATTTTTTTGCACCACGCCTACCTCCAAGGTCCGCCGAAAACCATGGCGTGGCGGGCGAGGCGATTCCGGGCTCGGCCCTTCCGCGTCGCGCACGGGGCTGCGGAGCATTCCCCGCCATTGCAGCCCCCGATGGCTGCCCGTGCTGCGCCGCCCATGGACCCCGAGGACGAGGGCTTTGGCGCCACGCAGGCTTGGCGTCCCTGCATGTGGGCGCTGCCGTGGACTCCGGCGTGCCCAGACGATAGCCGAGATGGACGACATCGAGGTGGACCAGGAGGAAATCGCTCGGGCCCCAGCCGCCGCGTGGGCCCGCCACGATGCCGCCAGGGCCCCCAGGGCCAGGACCTGGCGCTTGGGTGGCCGTGCCGCCGCCTGGCGCAGTGCGCGCCATCGTGAACTTGCTGAAGGAGTGGTTCGACCGTGAGATTTTCCAGCATTTAGAACTTGTACAGGCGAACGTCGAGGCGGACCCCACCCTGAACGGGCCGCCGTTCAAGTTTGCAGACTGCTGGGACGACTTGCGTTTCATCTTGAAGCGCATGGGCTAAAACCCTTACGCCCACGACCCCTGGGAGGTGT